CAGCAGCCTCACAGTTATTGAGTTTTCTTGTAAATATCACAGCAAAGGAGAGTTTTGATGAAGTCGCTGAGGTGGTTTGGCAGACATTTGAGACAAATTTCTACCAGACAAGGGGCAGGAAGGGAGAAAATATCATTCAATATTAAAGGTATTTTCCACTGACTGGCCCGGGAGACCAAGTTCTAAGTAATAATCAACATTACAGGAGTCAATAGTAGATAGTAGGGGTAGAGTACTGTAGGGGTACTGTAGGGAATGGGATAAGCCTTGAGAGATAGAGAGCTCTTATGTGATGAGACAGAGAAAGGGGCCATCCTTGAGAAGGTGAAGTGGGGTGGAAGCCATGCCCCATGTGGCAGTACACTTGCTGGTCAGGAGAAGTTAGGTGTGGGTATGTTGGCTGTGATGTAGGAAAGCAAGAGCTTCAGTGACAATGGCAGAGTTGGATGCTGGGTAAAAGAGCATTCACAAGATGTCCTGAGACTTAATCTTGAATGTAAGGAGACCAGTCTGGAGTACAGAGGAGAGTCTGCATGGAGGAGGGCACAGACCATCATAATGATCCAAATTTCTGGTGGATATGGATGAAAGGGGAGGTGGAGAAGGATGGGACCATGGCTGGGGCCACAGGGCCYGTGGGGGGGAAATCTGAAGTTGAACTGGAAGATGATGAAGAGGCAGGAGAGGTCAGAGATTGTGCTGACAAAGGCAGGTTGGAGAAGCCCAGGCTCTGAGGGCTCTGGACTAGTTTAGTTTGGCAAAGAGGAGGCTGAAGAACAACTTCATTGCTCCCTAACAGCTCCCTGGAGAGGGGAAGGGGAGAGGGAGGGGCTGGGATCCAGTGGTAGGATGTGTGGGAATGATTCAAAGCTGCATCAAGGAAGGTTCAGACTGGACATAAGGAATCAATTCTTTGCTAACAGGATGGTCAAACACTGGAACAGGCTTCCCAAAGAGGTGGTCAATGCCCGAAGCCTGTCAGTGTGTAAGAGGCATTTAAACTATACCTTTGAGTATATTCTTTACCTTTTGGTCATCCCTGAAGTGGTCACATGTTTGGACTGCATGGTTGGTTTAAGTTCCTTCCATCTGAAATGGTTTCTATTCTATTCTATTCTATTCTATTCTATTCTATTCTATTCTATTCTATTCTATTCTATTCTATTCTATTCTATTCTGTTCTGTTCTGTTCTGTTCTGTTCTGTTCTGTTCTGTTCTGTTCTATTCTATTCTATTCTATTCATCTAGTCCTGTCCTGTCCTGTGCTATGCTGTGCTATCCTGTTCTGTCACCAGAAGTGGCTCTGTGTGTGTGCTTTGATCAGGGACCCATGCTGTGCTCCTGCCTAGGAAGGGACCTGCCTGGCTCCATGCACTTTTTATCCCATCTCCCCCCTTGTGATCGAGATGCTGTTCCCATAAAACAGGCATGTGCTGATGTCTCTGCYTGGTTACACAAGCCAGCTCTGGAAAACCTCAAGTCCTAGATTACCAGYATAGCAGGGCTCTCTGTCTGCAAAGGTGTAAGATTACAAAACACACACTCGCAAGGCTTAACCAAAACCACCTCATTTTTAGCAGTTTGTGAGGGTTTATTCATTACACTTCAGCAGAGGAATGCAGGAATGTGAGCAGCATTAAACCTATTCATTTGGCAGGGAGGCATCTCCTCTCCCCTGCTCCAGCCTGCTTGGCTTTAATGATAATTGCACCTCTTGAGTTGTTGAGCTGGCTCTCTGCCACACCGGCCCTCCCCACACAGATGTGTGTGGCACAGTGCTGGGAAGGAAGGCTGGAGCCRGGAAAGAGCTCAGGTTAATGCTTTGGAGCAGGGCTGTCATTCCCACTGGGATGCGCTCCACGCACTGCTTTGCATCCTGTCCTGCATCTCATCCCTCATCCTGCCCTGCATCTCATCCCAAATCCTGCATCTCATCCCGCATCCTGCCCTGCATCTCATCCTGCATCCTGCCCTGCATCTCATCCCTCATCCTGCCCTGCATCTCATCCCAAATCCTGCATCTCATCCCGCATCCTGCCCTGCATCTCATCCCAAATCCTGCATCTCATCCTGCCTCCTGTCCTGCATCTCATCCCAAATCCTGCATCTCATCCTGCCTCCTGTCCTGCATCTCATCCCACATCCTGCCCTGCATCCTGTCTTGCATCCCATTCTACTCGCACCTCTTCCCAGACTCTCCTGCTATGGGCAGCTGCCTGCTTCAAGAAAGGCTTTGCTTTCTCCCTGACAAGCCCTCAGATGCAGATGGCTTAGTCTGAGCTTTGCAAGGCTCTTGTCTACTTTCCAAAGGTCCTGTTCTGCATGTCCTGTGCCACCCTGCCTGTGTAGCACTGCCCCAGTGCCAGCATGGGCAGAGAGACTCAGGGATGTTCTTTTGCTCTTGACTCTGGGCAGGGAAGAGGGCAACAGTCACTCCCTAACTCTTGTGCATCCTGCTGGGGAATTCATGTTGTTGTTATCATGATGATTATTATTATTTTTTCTTTTGTGCCTCTGGTTAACAATCCCCAGATGCATCTAACAGTATCCTAGCATCTAAAATGTAAGTATAGATTCTAAAAGCCATGCCACTTTAAAAATGGGAAATAATAATAAAAAAGCAGCAGTAATTTTTGTTGGCTTGTTAAGAATTTGAAAGATGCAATAAAATYGGATTTTAGGTTTATTCGTGCTGCCCTCGTTCCCAGAGGAGGAATGTGGTGCTCTGCATAACCTGGCTSCTTGCAGCAGCTGCTGCCTGTCACCGCTTTTGGCTCTGCTGCTGGAGTTTCACATGAAGGGTCTGGGYAGCACTGGACCCCTCATGAGAAGACAAGGATTGTGTGTGAGCTACAGATGCACAGGCTGGGCAGCTGGAGGATTTATCAGCAGAAGTGAGCACTGCTGGTACCWTAGCACTGTCGACCTAATAGAAGCTGGTACAATTGTATTTGAGCCACAGAGACATGGAGAAGGTTTTATTGAAGGTAGCTTCAAGGTCTCTGTTTAAAGGACACTGTTTTGAAGGGTTTGTAATGAGAATGGAAGTAGCCTAATTCAGTTCATTAGCTGGGGACCACCCCATCAGCTGGGGACCCCAAGATTGCATCTGATGCACAGCACCRAAGAGAAGAAGCCTCTAGAAGTTCCTAGAAGTTGAGATGAAATTAATTGTGTTTGAGCAGCTGGGTTACTTTTGGACAGAGTTTATTAACTGCACTTGTACTTGAAATATTAATTAAACCCTCTTTCCTGGCAGGACTGTGATGGAGAGTGCAGTAGGAAAGAGGTTTTATTCACTCCGCTCTTCCCGTGTTTGGGATCCTCAGGTGCAGTACATTGGGACCCAATGTCCTGATTTTGGGCCAAGCCACTAAACTGCTCCATGCCCATGTCCACAGCTGTACAGCAAGAGCTAGGGCAGAGGTGGTCTTCCATGCTCTGTATCTGCCTTAGTTTTGATCATGAGTATTACCAGTAGATAGTTCTGTCCAGTTTCTTCCTGGTTAAGTTGGACTTCTCTGAAGGTGTGATGACTTTTGGGCATTATCCTCAATTCCATRATAATAATCCCTTAATTGTTCATTTGTACAGTAATGGTTTAAGAGCTTACAAGAAGGCCAAATGAGTGAATATGAGGAGGGTGAGAGGATGGCATGGACAAGATGGGGCCACTAGAGCAAGTGAGGGAAATAAAGAAAAGCAAGTAAGTCTGTGGCAAATGAGGGTCTTTTCTGGCTGCTCTGTCCACTGAACACATTCGCTGCCCTGGGCTGAGAACAAGCAGCTGCTTGACAGCACACTGGAGCAGAAATACAGCAAACAGAAATACTTTCATCATCTTCTATCTTGGCGGTCCACCAGTCAGGGTGGACCTACTCACCATGGGCTGTCCTCCATGGTCACCTGTACAAATAATTCAAACCATCCAGCACCATCAGAGTCACAGGCATGGGTGTTTGCTGCTGCTGGATGGATCCAACTTCGCAACTTTTAGTCAGCTCTGATGTCCTGTTTGCTTTGGTAGGGACTCTGTATGGCAAGGTCCACACATTGGTAGCTGCTGGTTCTCTGAAATGCCCTCTCCCAATTGCCCTAGTGTGTAGCTGTTTAACTCAGACATTGGACACAGAGGGTTTGGGACAGTGAGAATAGAACAGAAATCCTTAGGGTTTTTTTGTGTGTTTTTTGCTTGAAAACTCTTGCAGGTATCAGTGTTATTTCGTTAATGGAGAAACTGAACCACATATGCTGCCTGCCTTGACAGCCCTTGCTTTCTGCATGAAGTCTACATTTCTCAGCTTTAAACACAGAAAACTGCTAATGAGGAAAACAAACACGAAAGGAAAGAAAAAAGTGATTTATTTCTGACTACTCTCTTAGCAGAGACAGTGCCCAGTGCCTTCCAGCAGCTGTGAAGGTGGGGCACACCCTATCCTGGGAAATGCTGTTCCATGTAACCGCCCTGCTCTCCTGCCGGTAACTCATACCCTGCAGCAAGGCAGCACAGAGGGATGGATAGACTTGTGCTCAACCAGTCCTGCTTTCTCCTCACCCAGCGGGTTGTTGGGCAATTTAAGGGTTGCTCAATCCAGTGCAAGTTTCTCCATCAGGATGACGGGTGCTAAGAGCACTTAAGTAGCTGTTAAGTGCTTTGCTATCTATGGAAGCAAATTAACAGATAAGGACAGGAGGTGGGGAAGGGATACAAGTGTCAGGAATTTAATTGGGAAATCTTTTCCATTGAATCACCTTTGTATTTATTCTGATCCCACTGCTACTGTTGGCTTTCTAGAGCTAGATCGAGACCTCGGTGAATCCGAGACCCTGAACCTTGCTGCTGCCGCTGGGTTACGCTTGACATCATTACCGTGCTAACAGCAGCAGCAAGGCTGATAAAAATATTTGTGTCTCCTGGAACATAACCTCTTTGGGATGAGAAGAGGTCCTGGCACTGCACTCTGCCCAGATTTAGCTACAGATAATGGAGTTTTTCCTACCGACATCTTGGGACGATGGATGGTTGTACGACACGGTCCTTTCGTAGCGTCCTTGCAGTGCCAGCTCTCCTCCGTGGGCTTCCTCGTCCGMCGGCGGGTGCTCGGTGGCCCTGTGGGGCTCGGCTGTGCCAGCCATGTGTKGCCCAGCCAGGCAGGGCACGGCTGGTGACTCTCTCTGCGGTTGTTGCCAGCCTCTCCCGGGATCTCGGGCTGAGCTCAGCTCTGCGTGTACGCACATGCCGGGGAGCATCGCGAGAGCCGGCCGTCCTTCCTCCTCCTCCCTGGTGCCGCAGCGAGCTGGCGAGCCGGCATCAAAGCAAAATTTCCCACTGCTGTCTCTTTCCTCGGAGGCTGCCTGTCTCCGTCGCTGCCTTTCAGTGGCATTGAAGCCTGCCTGGGAATGGGCGCCACTCCCGCATAGCTCCTGGGTCGACTCTCATTAGGGAGGGCGTATTCCTTGGAGCGGGTGAGCTGTGCCTCTCGTTTTGTTTCCCCACGTAGGAGCTGGGCTGCAAAGCCAGGACACAGAGCCATGTTTCTTCCCCAGGGCTTGTTCTCACCGGCACTGGCTGGGCTGGCAGCCCTGTTAGCCGTGGTGTGGTGATTAACGCTGGCACAGCGGCGGTGCCGGGATGGCTGAGCCCTTCCTRTGTGTTTGGGCTCTTCTGGACCTTGGGTGGGTGCCCCATCAGAGCCGTGCCCTGGTTTGGGGTGGGGGTCTCATCCCCTGAATTTTCCCATGTACTCTGTGGTGGTGAAAAACATCTTCAGGGAGAAAATCCCAGTCCCCAGTTGTGGTGCTGCTGTTCCCCGGGGTCCTTCCAGAGCTGGTGGCTCTTGTGTAGCTCAAAAACCTAAACTGGGTACTTCGGTAGTGAAAGAGGGGTAGTGATGTGTGCCAGAGACAAGGAGTGAGTTGTTGTGCCCTTTCCAAACCAAGTGAAGAAATTTGGGCTTCAGAATCTCCCTAGAGGTGGTTCCCATCTTAGTACTACACAGCGTTACTGGGGTTACTGGGTAAAACACCATGGTCTTGTCATCATATCTTCCCACTGACTCTGTCATCACCAATTATACTTTGGGTCCATCAAGGTGCAGCCACTGATGCCACTTGGGTGCTCACTTGTCTCCTTAGAGGAGGAGGAGGAACAGGTTGCCYGGAGAGGTGGTAGATRTGCCATCTCTGGAAACATTAAAGATCAGGTTGTATATCAGGGCTYCAAGCAAACTGATAAAGTTGATGTCCCTGCTCTCTGGGGGGGTTTGGGGTAGATGGTCTCTTCCAAACCAAATGATTTTGTGATTCCATGAGTTCAGCCCCCATCCTGGCTAACCCAGAGGGGCACGTGGGGTGCAGGGTGTCCCGCTGGCCTTTTTGTGGAGCTGCAGGAGTGGAGTACAGAGGGTGACCCAACACAGTGCCATGGGCAACAGAGGGATAGTTGTGTGCACTGAGGGGAGATCTGAGCACTCACATTGCTCAGACACAAATCCCTTCCTCCCAAGGTCTCAGGACCTTCTTAAAGGCTATTGCTAATTATTGCTGACCCTACCTATGCGTGCTCTTCAAGAGTGGGATGCATCAGTCTAAAAGCAGGCTAGAGAAGCAAAACAAGTTTTGGGGTTTTTTCATCTTCCCACAAGACATGCCTTTCTGAGCAGCAAAGGACATATTTGCATTTTTTGGGACATAGCGTGAATACTTTCAGCAAATAATAAAATAAATGCACATATCCATCCCACATGAGTGGGATCCCATGTACAAGGCAATAAAACACAACTACACTTGAAGAGATCTTGTTACTCCTGCACAGCTTGTTAGTCAGGGAGCCTGGTGAAGTTGACATGTCCTTTGACAGTGTTTCAGCTCGTACCTGTATTGTCCCTGGTGTATACCAAGCTTCAGSTGTGGGCTTCCCTCTTCAGCACTCAGTCAGAAACAGCATGCCTTGGGTTTGCAATCCATGTTCTAGCTGGTTCCTCCAGTGCTGCAGGATCTCACAGTAAGCCAGTCAGCAGAGAAACAGGATCACTTCACCAAATTCAGTCCAGTTTTTTGTTAGCACACATAAATACAGCTAGTCACTAAAAAAAACTAAAAGCCCAAGGCCACATTTGGTGGTTCATTCCTTCAGCAGCTGAGCAGTGTTACTGTAATATCTGGGCATCCTTCTGCATTGCTACACCCAAAACCATTTCAGGCTGCTGAACAAAGGATGTTGCTGAACGCACTTGCAACAGGGAGCCCATCCAGCTGACATWTTTTCTTTCCCCTGGATTATTCTGTAGATTCAGTTCCTCAATCCCGTTCACAGTCTCGCATGGCAAACTGGCATGCACTGGCATGGCTGAGAGGGAGGAACTAATGGAAACAATATCATGGGTTGGTCCCAGTGCCAAAAAGCTTGTGGGGGAGAGTCATGGGCCTAATCACATCGAAACCTTGGAAGCTGCAGCTGAACTGGGAACCTCCTTGGGCTCTATGCCTGCCCTACTTCCCAGGGCAGTTTTGTTGATGATGATAAATGGGAAAGTCTCAGYACCCAGGTCCCTGCACACACAATTTGTTCCTTTGTGCTCTTGCTTTTAGAGTTAACAGCACAAAATGGTAGAGGTTGGGGGAGACTTTGATAATTCTGTTCACATTGTCATATTTTTCCATATTTGCATCTCATTCTGATACTGTCTATCAGCATCAGTTCCRGGCAAGACCACCCCTGGTAGATGTGAGGCTGAGAGGAGCTGGGCTGAGTGCCGGGCTTGGGGCTGGATGCCACACTTGAATTTTCCGTCCTTCTTGCCCCATGTGAGCCCAGATCTCCCTCCCAGAAGCCATGTTTCTGTTTAGCTTGTGTGGAGCTGGGTTTTGAACATTTTGTTGGCTCTTTTCTCAGCGATGGGTTGGTTGCCATCATCCTTGCTGCAGTGTGGAGATGGAACCATGGTTGTCCCTGCTCATTGCAGGGGCCTTGAAATAGATGACCTTTAAAAATCCATTTCAACCCAAACCATTCTGTGATTCTATGTTCCAAGTTCTGTGGTCCAGCACGTGATTATTTCTAACCAGCTTGAGGGAACCCCTTTTGGAGAAGGGGAGAACAAGCACATTCTTCCTCTCTGCAGCCTTCTTCCAGCATGTAGCATTCCTGAGATTCACAATTTCCCCTGGCTCAGTGTGCAGTAACACCAAACCTTCTCTTYYCTTTGATCCAGGGCTTTTAACTGAGCAGCATTTTAACATGATGCTCCTGTGCTGGCCAAACAGCTTTGATTCTGCCGTGCAATGTGTTGTGCACGTGTCCTGGTTGAGARGGGCTGCAAACAACCCATATCCTTGCAGAAGTTGAGAGTAAGTGAAACCAAAGCTCACAACTGCWGTTTGGTTTATTTATTTATTTATTCTAATGGTCCATGTGTTTTTAATGCTTATTGCTGGATGCAAGGGGATGCTTCATCAGTGTGTACCCACAGTGTCCCTTGTCAGCTCCCAGCTCTCATCTCATGTGCAAGAGAGGATGTTAGCAACAGCTGGGTCCCCAAAAGGTGTTTTCCTGTGAATCCTGGAGATGAATTGCACTAATGGGAGGTGACTGGCTGCAAACTTGTGGCCAGAGCAAGATGGATGGTTTTGAGCAGGGGTGTTGTGACCTGAAACTTAAGCCTGTGGCTGGGTCACTGCCCTTCTTTCAAGTTGTTTTCACTGGGCTGGAAGCTTTCTTGTTAYGCATGGAGTTGCATCCAGGGAGGATCTGAAAGGTCGCTTAACCCTTTGCCTAACAGTGAAAGCAGAAAGAAATGATAATACAATAAATCCAAAGCCAGCCAACCTTCCTCCGGAAAAAGACCCTGAAAGCCTGAGAAAGCCCACAAAGGAGGATGCTGGGTTTATATTGCCTGCTCAGCAAACAGCCTGCGTCTGGGTTGAGGTTGCAGCAAAGGTTTATACAGAAATTCAATGCCATTTGGGATGTAACACAGGTAATAGCTTTTTTTTTCCTCTTCTCTCTCCTCCCTTCATCTTTGCTCTAATGCATTTGACTGAATTACAGTGCAAATCCATGGCTGTATAAATACCAAGTGTGTGGGGGGGAAAGAAATGCAGCTTAAACCACAGGCATTGTTTAGGCGGTTCTTTGATGTATTTCACCCATGAATATAAACTGTGAGCCTTATGGGATGGTTTTGGGCTAAAAGGAGCTTGAGACTGGTTTGTTGGGTGCTTTCTAAAAACATTTCACAGACATTTCATTTCCCATCTTTTCGCTCTTGATGTGTGTGCCTTCCAGAAAAGATGCTTGTACTCTTGGCTCCCAAGATTAAATCCCTTGTAGTGCAGAAATGCTGCTTGAGATCCACAATTTTACATACATTGAATACCTTGATGGAGTTAAATCCAGGTTCTGGCACTGCCAGATCCATGTTCTGTGTCATCATCTTAGCTTTAACCAGGCTTGTCGGGAAACACATGTTCCTCAGGGCAGATCCTGCAACTGAGGTTGGAGTCAGGAGTGGAKCATGCTGGCAGTGGTGGGTCTGCAGTGATGAAGGGGAAGGGATGGGGGGATTTGGCAGCTGGGCTTGTTTGTTTGTTTGGGAGTGCAGGGGGAGGACTAGTCTGTGATGCTCAGCAATAAATTTGGCCTGATACTTAAGTACCAGTTCCCAGGAAATTGCCATCAGAGTAATTAGCGTGTKCTGACTTATTTGTACAGTGATAACAGCAGGAAAGTATTGAAGCAGGAAAAACAAACACATTATTCATTTGAACCTTCAATCCACAGCCTTTACCTGACAGTTCACTATTTGCAATACACGGGTCTATTTTTAGGCTTCCAAGTCAGACGAGCTCTTTTTTCATTTTTGTTTTGCGTTTTGGTTTTTATTTTGCTGACATAAATTGRAAATGAATCTGTGCTTAGAGATAAACAAACCCAATTTTAAAATAAACCTTTTGAATACCAAAGAGTCTGTGGAAGTGCTGAAGCTTCAGTACAGGGCTTTTGAAACTTTTGTGCTTGCAAGTGGGATGAAGGTGCTGCAGACAGCAGCCAGGGGAGGCAGGAGGAGCTCTCTGTGCAGATGGAGTTCTGGATAGTGGAATGTGATCCCTGTTCCTATCGGAAGTATTTGGTGTRAGCATCTTTTTTAGCCCAGGTTTGCCTGCTTGGTGGTGGGTGCTGCTTAGCCAGCCAGGTTAGAGCTGTCCTTTGAGAGGTGAGCACTGAGGAGCAAGTTTAGTAACTTGGGTAATAATTATTGTTAACGAGACTGTGGGAGAGTAATGCAGGGTCACAGGAGTTTGTGGTTGTGAGGCATCTGAGGAGGACATTTGGGGAAGGGCAGCCTTATATGTGTGAGTTTGTGGAAAAGCTGGTAGAGAGCAAGAGGTGTTTGGGGAGGGGGGAAATGTGTGTGGAGAAGTGTGTGGATTCACCTTGGAATGGAAACAATGGGGATGAAAATGTTTGTTCTGCCTTTCCCTTCCTTTCCTCCCCTCTCTTGCTTACCAGCCACCCACAGAAGCAATTCCCTGCCAGGCACTTGTGCTAAATCCTTTGAAAGCTCTTCTTCTCCTTTGGCAATGATAAATACAGAATGAAGGGCGGAGGCAGAAGACAGACTGTCTGCAGGGGAAGAGAGCAGAGAGGCCCCAGGGTTTCTCCTGGAGATGGATTTTGTGAACAGCTGAGGAAATCAGGCAAAGCACCTCCCGCAGCCAGCAGCTGTATCACAGGCACCCCTGGCTGCAAATGCAGTGCAGATAAATCAGAGTTAAAGTGCCTTTTTTAAATACCAAAGGCTTTTAAGTATTTGAGCCAGCCATCAAAAAGGTGACTTACCATCTCCATATCTTGAGCTCTTTGCATGGAGCCTGCGTACCTCCCTGGAAGGTGGGGCTTAGGCAAACACTGACATTACTGCTCAAATCAAAG